GACTGAGCCACCCAGGCGCCCCTCTTAGTACTAACATTAAAACACCGTATTTGCTGCTAAAATCCTACAAGAAAATAAAGAGAATAGAGAAACCATGGCATATCATTTTAGTATTTCAATATGAAAGAAGCAAACATTAAGGAGCACATGTTTATTTGGTGCTAATGACATCATGATTTGCAGTCTTTTTTTTTTTAAGATTTTATTTATTTATTTGACAGACAGACAGAAGAGCACAAGCAGAGGGAGTGGCAGAGGGAGAGGGAGAAGCAGGCTCTGCATCGAGCAGGGAGCCTGATGCGGGACTCGATCCCAGGACCCTGGGATCATGACCTGAGCCTAAGGCAGACGCTTAACAACTGAGCCACCCAGGTGCCCCGACTTTGTTTTTAATAATATATGATTATAATATGTTTGAAAATGCTCATCTTTTATAATGTGTTAAGAGAGTAAAATGATGGAGGGGACATAAATGCTGTAACTAGCAATTGAAAACTAAAAATGAAAGCAACAATAAAATACCATGATTCCGCTATTGTCAATAACAAAAACATATTTAAGTGTTGTTGAATATGTTTTGAAATGCTATTCTAGGGGTGCCTGGGTGATGCAGTTGGTTGGGTGACTCAGTTGGGCGACTCGGTTTCAGCTCAGGTCATGATCTCATGGATCATGAGATCGAGCCCTGTGATGGGCTCCATGCTCAGCAGAGTCTGTTGGAGTTACTCTCTCCCTCTCCCTCTGCTCCTCCCCTCCCTCGCGCGTGTGCTCTCTCTATCTCAAAAATAAATAAATAAAATCTTTAAAAAAATAAAATAAATAAATAAATCTTAAAAAAAAAAAAAAGCAATGCTATTCTAATACATTGCTGCAGTTTGGAGAGTTAACTTGAAAAAAATATTCCAGGAAACAATATTTCTTAAAATGATGGAAGTTGTTTGTCTCTTTGACATCATAATCCTTATTCTAGAAATCTATCTTGAGAAAACAAACGTGTAACCGAAATTAATATTTATCTATATAAATTCCATTTTAAGTTTAAATTAGGAATTAGAAGTAACCTAAAAGCTCAACAATTGAATGGTAATAAATAATGATATACCCATATTAAGACATATCATGCAGGATTAGAAGTCATGCTTTTAATAAATGTTTAATGGCATGGAGGGGACAATGTAATGTCAAGTGACTGAAGTAGGATAAAGAGACCTGCATATACAGAATCTCAGAAACTGTGTTTAGTTGTATCTAGTAGAATGCTGACTATAGTAGGTTATTCAAATAGGGTTTTGTTTTTTCTCATATAACAAAAAAATGTGGAGATAGGATGTCCAAAGCTTGTGCCTTGTCTCCACAATGTCATCAATGTCCCAGGCTCCTTCTTGTCTTTACATTTACTATCCTTGGCCTGTGGCTTTTGTCCTCAGGCTTGTCACCTCAAGGTCACAAGGTGGCTGCTCCATATCCAGCCTCACATGCTTGCTCCAGGCCAGAAAAAAAAAAAAAAAAAAAAGAAAGAAAGAAATAGCAGGGGGAACCTGGTGCTGCCTATAGGAAGCAAGTCAAATGTTGCTAGAAACCTTCAGTAAACTTTCCTTTACATCTCATTCATCTAGAACTCTGTCACACTATCACCCCTAACTTCAAAGAACACTGGGAAACATTGGTTTTTAGCTAGGAACATTGCTATACTGGACAGAATTGGATTTCTTCAGTAAGGAAGATGGAGAGAATGCATATTAGACTACTAACAGGATTTCTTATATCTGGTGCTACTATAGTTAAAAAAAAAAAAGTGTAACACAAACAGCTATCCCTTTATTCTCTTGCCCACATAAACGACTGAAGCACTATATACCAAAATGCTAACAATGTTTATATTTTAGTGGTAGGATTCCAAGCGTTCTTAATCTTATTTATAATTTTCTGTACAGTTTCTGACTTGCAATGGCTTGACTTATGGTTTTTCTACTTTACGATGGAGCAAAAGCATTATGCATTCAGTAGAAACCATATTTGGAGTTTTGAATTTTAATCTTTTCCCAGGCTAGCAATATGTGGTAGAATCCTCTCTTGTGATGTGATCTCAAGAGTATACAACTCATATCCTTACACCCATTCTGTACCCATACAACCATTCTGCTTTTCACTTTTGGTACAGTATTCAATGATTTACATGAAATAGTCAACACTATTATAAAACAGGCTTTATGTTAAATGATTTTGCCCAACTGTAGGCTAATGGAAGTGTTTTGAGCACGTATAAGGTAGGTGTGGCTAAGCTATAATGTTTGGTAGGTTAGGTG